CCCCCACACACACACACACACAAACACAGTACACTTAAAGTCAAACTCAAATTTGATTTCTTCACTATATGTCGAAGGAAAATATTTTATTTTTATTTTTCAAAAGAGAATAAAACCCTTTTTTGGACATATTTTTGGACAGTGTCTTGGCTTCAAGCCTTCCTGATGGGTGGCATGCTGTCCACATAGTGTTTATCGTGTACCAATAGTGAATGAAGACATCCGTCCCTTTACAACCTTATACATCCGTGAGGACCCATCAAGCTGTCAAGTTTGTATTAAGGTCGCAAAGTGAAAGCTAGGCTAACTAGCTCCATCTGGGAAAGTAGATAGCCTAGCTTGCTAGTGTGGGCGCTGATTCCCACTAGATGCTACTTTTTAGCCCGTACACACATTTAGCGATGTGTCCGTCTTGCATTATAGAAAGGATCGGGTCTGGCTGAAGTTAGCTGGTGCTCTTTCATGGATCCAAATGTGGCAAATGACCAGTCTGCCAGAACTAACGGCGACAGGTAGTCCTGTCAGCTCAGTACTCCATAGGTTACTACCCAGGTATTTCAGATCACAACACGGAGTAAAGTAGAGAGTGCTCAAATCACACCTGCTATTAAAGGTTCCAACGGTACAATGGCTCCGTTATTGCACCAATCAGTTACCAGTACTGACATCGTCAGTCAGTACCCAAAAATTCACGCCCCCTGGACTATTTTTACAAAATAACAAACACAAAGTATTTATACAGTGAGCAGAAATGTGAAGGAATTTGAATTTCAGTTCGGCTTTAATGCTAATTCAAACGATCTGCAGACTCATGCTGTAGATAACCGCGGGCACGTGCAGCTGCCTTTGTGTTCTTATGGCATATGTCCCCTAGACTGGCCTCCAGACATCCAGTATCCCAGAATTCATACCTCCACGACTGGCAAGCATCCCATAGCCCGTCAGTCTGAGCCGTTCGCTACATGATTGGCCTCTGAAAAGCAGCACATGTATAACACTACCGCATACTTTGCAGCTGCTTGTGCACAGTCAAACCAGACGTGTGCAAATAGACCGGGTGAGACCCAAATCCTATAAAGCCAAGATCAAAAAGTCCAGTCCTCCACATAAGCTCTTTTCCACTCAGCCAGGGCCATGGTTCATCAAGTGCCTCTCTTAACACCCTTCTACCAAGGGCCCTTCTCAAAGCGCCCTGTCCTCTAAGCTTCCACTTCTCCAAACACCTTTTAGATTGGGAGTCATCTACATGCAGGTGTAGCCATTGTAGAAGTCCTAACTGATTTCTTCCTGAAGGGGAGTTGTTTTGTTTTAGTATAAATGCAAAGCGATGGGAATAGGGGACTTCTACAATGATTTTGCCTCCCCCAACTGTAAAGCCTCTGAGATCCAACCAGAAAGAGCAGGGCTGGGGCTGCTGAAGCATCTTGGCACTCAGATCATGTTATGTGTTGACTCCAGCTGGAACTTCGGTGATCTCGGTCCCAAAATGCCTTCGGTCAGCCTGGTCCGGGACTGTTTGACACTTCTCCTCATCTGCATGAGCTCTACCACCACCGCACCGCTCTAAGATCCAGTAGATCCTCACCTCTGCGGGCAACGAGACCTTTTTGTTTCCCTCTGAGCACCTCGCCCCCACACACTCCCCCAACCACCATTTTTGAACCGCCACGTGCCAATGACATGGAATGACTGATGAGCATGCCCCTTTTGAATGCTCCTGCATGCATGACAATGCAACGCATTACAGCAACGCCACACATGATGATGCTAAGATCATGATGCTGACATTAACGATGACGGTGATGTTGATGATGTTGATGGTGATGATGAACAAATCTTTTATTTTTCATTTAACTTAAGCAGTGCAAAGCCTGGAGCCTTTTTTCTGGCAAACAGGGAACAGCAGAGAGATCTAATTCATTTAAATTGTTTTATTTTGAAAAATGTCAAATCTGGGAAGCAAACATTGAAACACTGATTCAGCTTAAAACGGATACATTTCCAAAAGTTGATACTGTATTTGTACACAGCCGAATTGTTTGTCGAAAAATACGCCAAAATATTCGAGCAATACTTTCATATAAATTGCAACTGAAAACATAATTGTATATGCCAATTTTCTGGATGATAACAGTCATCATTTTGTCTTCTCGCATGAGAAAAGAAGAGACGGTTAAAAAAAAAGAGACAAGAGTAATGCTGCATGACAACATTGTCAAATGCTTGAACGAAGGCATTGAACACCTCACAAGAAGAAGAATATGACACATTCGAAGCAAATGAGAAAAACAGGAGGGATCTGTGTAGCTCCCTGGGAACAGGAAACTGGGTTAGGACACGTGCGCAGTGAGCTCTCGTCAGGGGTTTAGCAACGTTTGTTGTGTAAATGGGTACGTCATGCCGCTGCGCATGCACTTCGTGGCACCCACCTCTTTACACGGCTCCGTGTGGCGATCCGGTCCACCGCTGCCTTGTTTCCACCATCTGGTTCTGTTGCAGTTTCTCTGCAGTGCCACCTCCCCTGCAGAGCGCTGCTGCGCCAAACAAGCCTTTATCCAGGCAACGTTGCTGTTCGCTAAGCTCCCTCTCCCGCAGGGAACTCGCTCACATGTCGGTCAGCCATAGAGGGGCACGATAGCTTGCTGGGAAATTGAACCAAACTGAACACATACATAGATGGACGCTAGAAAGACAAAAATTACGTATTTTTGTTGGATTTCTTTGACCACTCAGAAACTTAATTCCATCATACATGCTGGGATTTTTCTAATCCCTCGGCATGTCGGCTGTCTGTCAGAAATAGCTGACTCCTGGTTTTCTGGTATTTTGGATTGTGGCTGTCTGCATGCCACTGTTAGTGGATTTTGATTGGATGATAGTAGCTCAGCTTGCAGGCCACTCAGGGAATGAATTAGATAGAATGAACTCACGGGATCCGCAATCCTCATATGATCTAATCAGATCATTTCAGTTCAATCACAGCAAAGCTGATTAGAGAAGTGCATTACAGCCATTATGAGACAGCTGGAAAGCAAACTGCAAAAGAGACCAAACTGGATATCAAACGGAGGGAAGTGATGTTATGAAAATATTAACGAACAAAGGGAAGAGAACAAAAACAGTTGAAAAGAAGTAGGTAGAAAAAGAAAGGACTCAGACCGAGGCCTTGCCTCAGTCCATTTCTATTAATAAAGGCCATGTAGGAGGCTGAGCCACGGCCGTTTCTGATACAGTTAGAACACATCCACACAGCACTCCAAGGTTATACAATACCCAGCAACTGATGCTACAAAACAAGCAAAAGAAATGACAGAGTTTTGTTGAATGGATGATAGAAACATGTATAGATATCAGATGGATTTCCCGGAAATATCAATGTTAAACTGCTTGAGGGGAGAAAAGTGTTTTCGCTGAGCTGTCATCAAAAGTGCCTTCAGATTCTGGAGATGCAAACATGATAAGACCGTAACTAAAATAAATTTAAAAAAGATGAACCTCCATGTTACCTTCCCCTCTATCCATGACTCCTTTTGTGCCAAAACGGATGCTGAAGTTTGACCGGCAGAGTAATGCCGTGTTCACACAAAACGCGACGCGAATTGCGTTAATCGCGTCTTTCTCGCCGCCGGTCTCGCCGGGGACCATTTGTGTTCATTCACGTGAATCGCGCTAGACGCACCTGAGAGGGGGCGTGGCTTATCGCCCTGAAAGCCGCGATCAACCATGGGAAAAATAACCTATATTTCTGCTTAGTAGCCTACTTGTTGTGGAAGTCCCAGATATCACGGGAAACTAAACACCGTCTTGTCTGGGTTCATAACATCATCCGGTCATCCGGAGGAGCACCGTGGATTTTATCGAGCTGTATTCACTGTGCCACACGTCGGCTGGTTTACTACAGCTGTATGAACACAAAATAAACTGATTTGGTTGTGATTTAACTGCAATAAACCGACAAAAAGGGACTCCGAAATAACTACGTAATGATGCCGATTTGTAAAAAGTCTGGATTCATGTTTTGTTAGTTCTCTCCGCAAGACGACAAGCAAATAACTTTTAAAATACTTGTTTTCTCAATGGAGCTCGGATCGATCGGTGCTAGGCTAAGCTAACATTGTAGCATCTCCATCAACACTCAACATAACGTCACATAGGCATAAATACGGCAGCGTCTTTTTCATTGTTTGTACCATATAGTTTACACACACACATTTATACACATAGTTTGGTCCGGCCACTTTGAAAAATTTCAACTCACGCGTTTGGGGTGTTTTGCCGTTTGGCGCGAATTCGCATCGCGCCAAACGCGCTGCGCCATCGCAAAGTCACGTCACTCCAGTCTCATCGCGTCTGTGCATAGACTTTGTATGTAATCTTCTCACGTGAATAATTCGCGCTGCGTTTGGTGTGAACACAGCATAAGGTGACATTTACAAAACCCACGTAGCCGAGCCATGATTGCATATGGTGTTAGCACAGCTGTATTTGCCGCACACTTTCTAGCCGTGAGACAAAAGCAGACACAGATTGAATCCATCTTATCACACTCTTCACTCCTCTGCCTCGCTGCTATCTGAGATCCAACTACCAACCTGGAAGAAAAGCAGTGACATTTAAAAGCTGAACACAAAGCGAGGGCAGGGGTTGTTGCAGTGGGTTTAGGAATAGTTAACCGTGGTGTTAATCTCTGTTGACTCCCTCTAGTTCCTTGTTGTTGTTTTTTTGTTTCCTTTTCACGTTTGGCAGTTTGTTCTCCACATTACTCATCGTCCCTCCTAACAATGTCACAGTCCTGTACACTCTGTGTGTTGTGTGTCCGTCAAAAAGCTTGTCTCTTCTCTGTTTTCTGTCGCACTGGGACATTTAACTGGAGGGGGGTTTATCATCACAACGAGACAGAAATACCATCAGGATAGATTACATTTTTTTTTTTTTTTAAGTGTAAGGGATGTTGACGCTATTAAAATGCATGCTCACATTATACGAAACACACAGCTGTGACTTGTGCCTGGTTGTAACTAGTATGTTATATACCTTCAAGATATAACATCACACACATTACTACTGTGTAACAACAGAATGAACCTACCTGTACCTACCAAACCCAATCCACCAACCAGTCCGTGCCTGCTATGCTTTGCTTGACTTAGTCTAGTCCCCACCATATATTTCTGTGCCAGATGCATGAAGCCAAATAATACCTTTTATGTCAGCTGATCACACCTCACACGTTTATATGCTACTGCAGTGCCTCAAATGCAAGGCTCTCTTTGTAGATGTGACTAACGGGGGAGCCGGCCTGGTTGAGCTAAATGCTGTGTTGCTTGGTCAAAACTGTTGAGTAACTGTCCCTCCTCATCCTCCACATTCGCTGTTGGCGGCCAGGATGAAGAGCGGAGGCAGCAAGGCCTGGGGGAAAAACCAGGACGGGGTGGTGGCTAGCCAGCCCGCCCGCGTGGTGGACGAGCGCGAACAGATGGCCATCAGCGGAGGCTTCATCCGCAGGTAAGAGGGGTACGCGTCGTTATGCCTGAGATGGACACGAAGTAAGGGGATGTACATGAATGCACATGTGGACAACAAGGTGTGATGAATGCGAGCGTCCATGTGGAGGTGGTGCAGAGTTGTAAGAGAACCAGGTAGGGATCCACACAAAAGAAACGGACAAAAGCAACCAGGCGGAAACCTCCGGCTCTGAAGAATGAAGTCAAAGTGGAAGTGTCTTAAACTTGCATTCTCTCTAATGTCCAGCAGGTCCTCTGGTTGCATAGAAGTCTATGAGAAAATGACTCTACTTCTCTCTTGATTCATTACCTCAGTCAACATTGTAAACATGAGTTTATGGTCTCAATCTCTAGTTTCAAGTCTTCTTCAATACAGCATGATGTTCATTTAGTACATTATGGTCCATTTAGAGTCAAACAGACCATAAAGCAGGGTATGCTTTAGGGCGGGGCTTACTGTGATTGACAGGTCGCTGCCTCTACCAGAGCCGTATACGCCATCTCTACGTCACTTCTCCGCATTCCAAATATGGTCGCTTCCGTTCACCGGTTGCAAAAAGTCAAGATGGCAACGGCCGACCTCAAGGCTCCAAAACGGCAGTCAACAAACCAATGGGTGACGTCATGATGATGAGGTCCACTTCTTGTATACAGTCTTTAGAAGCACTGGCTACAGAGTTGGACATTCTAAAAATATGCTTATTCACTTTCTTGTTGAGAGTCACATACTAAGTGGATTAATATGAAGCTACAGTCAGGAGACCATTAGCTTAGCTTAGCATAGAAAAGTTACATGTTTTTATTGGCACACACTACTGGTAATATACGTTTATGTTGTATAGTATTGTCTATTTCACACAGACACATATTGAATCTGTAATGTGTGAATAGACATTCTCCCCGTGGCAGCGTGGGTTCCCTCCGGGTTCTCCGGCTTCCTCCCATAGTCCATAGACATGCAGAGCTTAGGTTATTTGGAGACTCGAAATTGCCCATAGGTGTGAATGTGACCGTGAATGTTTGTCTGTCTCTATATGTGCCCTGCGATAAACTGGCGACCTGTCCAGGGTGTACCCTGCCTTCGCCCAATGTCAGCTGGGATCGGCTCCAGTGCCCCACGACCCTGAATAGGATAAGCGGTTTGGAGAATGGAATGGAATAAACACAATGGTGCTTGGAGGTTATGCTGCTCTGTAAATTGAATACTTTTTGGCATCGCTGTGGCTGTAAATGTGTTACAGTAAGATATATTATGAACTGCTGTGCACAGGAAAAGGATGAGAGGTGAAACGTGGATGAGGGGGTCACACTGAGCGCCTCACTGAACCCGGGCCATGTGTGCTGTGTTTGACCTGGTGTGTTCACTCAGACGTCGCCGTATTTTAATCTGCTCTTGTGTGTGTTTAGGGTAACAGAAGATGCCCGGGAAAATGAGATGGACGAGAACCTGGAGCAGGTGGGCGGCATCATCGGTAACCTGCGCCACATGGCCCTGGACATGGGCAACGAGATCGACACCCAGAACCGCCAGATCGACAGGATCATGGATAAGGTACCAAGATCTGGATTTATAGCATTTTATTATATTTATTATAAGGTTACGTGTATTTTCTTGCACATTATGCGTAGTATGCAGCTTTATTTGTAAAGATAAAAGCAATTACAGTTAATAATATACCCTTTCCTATTTTGAACTACTTTCCACTGAGTGTAATGTTTTTTACATTTTTTTAAGATGATCTGGCTCAGACATGATGACAAACTTTCCCATCAGCATTTTCTTCTTTCAGGAGACTTTGACTGAGCTTGTTTTCAGCGACCCGTCACACATTCATACAATAACTGACTTTTGAATATAAATCCACCACTTCTCAGTCGCAAGCCAGCTCCTCAGACCTTTTTCTGATCGGTTGGAAAGACCGAATAAAATCTGGAAATAACGTCAAAGCCAGAAAACAAACATCTTTTTATTTTATTCAAGTCTGGTCTCTTCAGCTCTCTGAAGAGAATATCATTTAGGAAATGTAGAGCGCAGGACAGAAAATGTGTTTGTTCATGTGTTTCCCAGCATTTCTATTAATATAGCTGACTGTCAACAGACTAAAATCCTGTCCAGTCTCATTTTAAGTGAGTGGATGGAAAGATGTTTTATAAACCACAAGCAGCAGAGACCCTTAAAGAGAACAATAATTATAATAATGAAATCTATTTTGAAGAGATGATTCAAAATCATACTTAGGCCATCAGTCCAAGTTCTTTTTCCCTCCAAGAAATATTGACCAGACACCAAATAACAATGTTTCAAACGTTTTTTACTTTACAATTGAATTACTTTGTTTGTAAAAAACATTTCCCAACATGAGGGTCTACATGCTGTTTCAAAGCCTTCTCAACACTGCCAGCAGGAATACAGTCTTTGTAGAGAAATAATGACTTTTTAATGAATTATTTTATTTGTTTGTTATATTATATTATATCATTGTTTGTATATTTATGTATCTAAATGTTGGCTTATAAATTGTGAAATTTATTTACAACCAAATGACCTCAACCACATGAGGATAAATAGTTTAAATTTGAAATGGAATTTTAAGAGAAAGTCACATGCATGAGTAGAATAGTTTAACAAAATAGCTGACACAAAATAATTAGATTTCACATATTTTATTCCATCACCACAGCAACATATCGTAATGCGTCTGACTGTTTGTTTTTTCCTGTGCTGTCCAGAAGGTTGTCCGTCTGCCTGATTCCACATGAATGCAGCATACATGTTCCTGTCAACTTACAATAACAAACCAATACAAGCAGGCTGATGACTGTTCTTGTCCTTCTTTGTCCCCTCTTCCTTCAGGCTGATTCCAACAAGACCAGGATCGACGAGGCCAACCAGCGCGCCACAAAGATGCTGGGCAGTGGCTAGACGCCCCGACCCCGGAGTCGGCGTGACCGTCCCGGCGTCCCGCGCCGCACATCTACAGGCGCTGACATGCTTTCATCATGGTATTGACCTTCTAGGTTTGCACAGATGCACATATCACCTCCCCCCCCCCCCACCCCACCCACCGGAAGAGCGTCGAATGTTCTGCAA